ACAACAGCAACAACAACAACAGCAGCAGCAGCAATCAGAACAACAACAACAACAACAACAACAACAACAACAACCACAACAACAACAACAACAACAACAACAACAACGACAAGAATCCGCATCGCGGTCTTCCACTTCAGCCACGCGCCCAGAAACAGAAAATGACCGTTCGGTTCAACTCCCTCACTCTGATGTATATAATGATACAGAGTGAAGGGGCCGAACGGTGATTCATTGTCACTAGGTGCGTGGCTGAATAAGGAATTCGTGGAAAACACTATGTTTGTTGCATTGTTGTTAAGGTTGTTGCTGCTGTTGTCGTCGCCCCATCCACGACCCACCCGCGACCCACCCCGCGACCAACCCTGCGACCCACACCGCCCACCCCGCGACTCACCCCGTGACCCACCCGCGACCCAACCCCGCGACCCACCCCGCGACCCACCCGCGACCCACACCGCCCACCCGCGACCCACCCGCGACCCACCCCGCGACCCACCCCGCGACCCATACGCGACCCATCCGCGACCCACCCGCGACACACCCTGCGACCCACCCGCGACCCACCCCGCACCCCACCCTCAAGGGAGGAAAAACCACTGGGACCCGACAATTGACGTTTACTAAACGGCCCTGGGCGTTTACTAAACAACCCTGCCCTGATCGATTCATTCCTTGTGTGCGTTTAACAGACGGCTTCGCTTGTCGGGTTCATCATTGTGGGGTGGATTTTCTGCCCTCTACACCCGCGACCCACTCGCGAACCACCCCGCGACCCACCCGCGACCCACCAGCGACCCACCCGCGACCCATTTGCGACCCACCCGCGACCCACCCGCATTGGCTTAACGAAAAATCTGCGCTTGCGGCGGGCTCGTTGCAAAACGTGCGAAACTTTGGCGCTTGCGGCGGGGCTGCTCCAGAGTCTCGCAAACTGCCGACGTCCCCACCGCCCCCTCACTCTTATCCGCATCTGCGGGGTGCTACGTATGATATAGAACGTGTTGCGCAATATGTGTGGAGCAATCTATGCGGCACCAAGCAATGCAATAATTAGTATTGCAAAACAGCGCAAAGCAAGGCAACGACGCGCAGGCTCAACGGCGGGCGGCGGCGAGACGGCGACGGGGCGGCGACAGCGAACACATAGTCGCCAGACCGACGCCCAGTCAAAGACGGCGGGCGGCGACGAAGCGGCGACGGGGCGGCGACGGCGACGAATAGCCGCCAGACCGATGCCAAGGCCCCGACGACGGGCGGCGACGAGGCGGCGACGCGGCGGCAACGGCGACGGCATAGCCGCCGGACAAACGCCCAGGCACAGTTCCTGATACCACGAGTAAGAAACCCTACGTGCAACCACTGTTTGGGTAAGTACGATGGTACACAAGGCTCCCATGATGTGCAACCGAACACCCGCCCGCCCCCGCGACAGGGCGCCAGAGTAGTCGGCGTGAAGTCGCTCCAACGCCGCGGGCACGGGCCTGCGCACGCACGCGCATGGTGGCGGGGGATCTGCCAGGGACAGCACATAACCAAACAACTCATCATATTATCGTCCTTTTCCTCCTCCTCCTCACCCTCCTTCTCCTCCTCCTCCTTCTCACCCTCATCTTCCTCCGTCTTCTCCTCCTTCTCCTCCTCGTCCTCTTTATCATCCTCCTCCTCGCGTCCTCCTCCTCCGCCTCCTCCTTCTCCTCCGTCTACTCCTCCTCCTCCTCCTCCACCTTCTCCTCCTCCTCCTCCTCCTCCTCCCCCTCCTCCTCCTCCTCCTGCCCTCCAACCAAGGACATGTCAGGGCAAGTCCTGCCAGGAGGTCGCCGTCTGCCCGTCGGCAAGAAAAAACGAATCGAGACCCACAAAGTCGCTGCTGCTGAAGAAACCGAGCAGGCCAGGGACGTCATGCTTAGCAACAACGCGCAAGGAACTTCGTGAGCACAAATGATGGAGGTCGTCGTTCTCCCTCCCTTTCAGGACAATAGAGAAGAGGAACATAAGGGGGAAAAGGCATAAGGAGGCAGGAAGACAAGGACAGAGCTCAATAGAACAGGAACGACGAGGGATGAGGCGGAAGGAAAAAGCGTACGAAGAAGGCAGGAGAAGTAGAAGGACGGAATTATCGATGGAAGAATTGCAGAAACAACTCCCCCTTTTCATACTGATGCTGCCGTCCCTCTTCCACCTGCTGCTCAGTCTCCACCCTCCCCCTTCAGTTTTGGATGGGGAAGAGGGTCATAGGACGTGGAGCTCTTCGGGCGGCTACGAAGTAACTGTAAACGTTGATGTGCGGCTGTGCCTTCGAAGTTCAACCAATGGATAGGGCCCCCAGCCTCTAGCGCGACGCAAGCACGGGCAACTGCGACTGCAAAAGCCAAGCGAATCTGAATGTGCCACACGAACCAATGCCCATGAATTGAACCTGGAATTCGCCCGAGGACGATCACTCTCGGGTCGAAGGGTCTACAGACTCCTCAGTGCCTGTGACACGAAACCAAGCGAGTACCTGGGAACGCATTCTTACAAATTTGTATTTGCCTTTTCCACAACGAGACCAATCACAATACCAAACGCATGTTCCGCGTCAAACTCTGGCTCGTAACGCGAAGCTGCTGGATATGCCGAGCTGCATCGGATCCACTCCCGCCATCGTCGGGCCATTCGAGCGGTTATTCATGATTCACTGTAGCGGTCGTTTCTGGGCCCGCCGCTCCAGAGGGAGCCTCCCCCTCTCTGCTCGTGGGGTGCTGCGTGCACCGCCCTGTCCCCCCGGGGGCACGACCCCAACTGAAAACTGTGGGCCCGTGCTGCGGAGGCCACGATCCCTCGTCTCAAGAGCAATGCGCCCGCGCTCCCAAAGCCAAGCCCGCATGTTGCAAAACACGATGTATTATGCGCGCTCCCGAGATTCAAAAGCGGACGAGGCAGGCAACCAAGGCCACCAAGATGAACCGACATGCCTCCACGACGACCCAAGATGGCCCCACGGCGGCCCGAGGTGGCCTCAAGAAGGCCCAACTTAGCCAGAATATGACCCCGGATGAGGCCCGAAGAGCCGAACATCACAGCTTCTGTTGTTCAACGAGCTGAGCGATTCCACCGTTTCGGGAACGAAAACCGTGCGCTATAAGCTATGTGGTGAAAGCTACGTGGTGAGAGCTCAGAGCACGGGGCGCCCACGAAGCGGCACGGGCGGCGTGGCGCAACCTCGGCATACCTCCCAAGCGCGGGGCCCCCAACAGGCACCCACGAGACCTCACTGGCCGCAGCATGACGAACATTCGGAATAGTCGAACAGGTACGTAACGAAACATCGTATGAAGCCCTGAGTGCAAGCAGTGCTTTGGGAATTTATTGGATCCAAAGCTGCCCCTCCACATCTTCCCTCTCATCCCCACCCACCCATCCGCCCGCCCACCCCCTTCCGCTTCCTCCAACCTCATCTCACCCGCCTCCCCCAGCCCCCGCCACTAGAGGAAGAAACAACGGCATAAACAAAACTTTCGAAGCTCGGCGCAGATTTCTTGAATCGGCGCTGGGCCCCCCCTCACTGACGCGTGGAGTGCGCCAGGGGCGGCGCAGGAGGCGCCGCCAGGGGGGCCCGAGCGCCGATCCGAGAAATCCGCGCGGAGTTCCCCAAGTTTATGTTTATGCAGTTTTGTCTGCTTCGATCCACCCTACAAGACCGCATGCAGCCCAGAAGGGCGAAACAACGCGGCAACAACACAATAACGCAATAACCGACCACAACCGACTGCGACGCAGCCGAACCGGCAGAGCGGGAAACACCCTTGCTCAACCGCCACCTCCGCCTGGGGAAACCAACAAGCACCGATTTCGGTACTCCCCAAATCTCTCCCGGGATGCGTTCTGACAAAGGTTTCGATGCGAATCCAGCCATGGTGACGAGGGCCTCCTAGGAGACCAGCAAAAGTGATAACGAAGGAAGTGTAGCCGTATCGGTACGCGCGGGGCCACCCCCCTCCATCCACATCCTCTGTCTCCTCCTCGTCCCAGGCCGCATCCCCCTTCGGACACGCGCGCGCGCGGAGCTGCGTGGAGCCGCCAGGGGGGGGGGCGGCGCGGGCGGGGCCGGGCAGAGGGGTTCCGGTCCTGGAGAAGCCCTCGTCCTGGGGTGCGGCTGGGGGGTGGAACGGAGGGGAGGGAGGGGAGGGGGGAAAGAGGAGGAAGGAAAGGGGGAGGAAGGGAGGAGGAAGAAAAGAAGGAAGGAGACGGGGAAGAGAGAGGGATAAGGGCGGGAAGGATTGAAGGAGGGATGGAAAGGACGACGGAACGGGGAAAGAAAGAAGTGGGAATGACGGAAGAAGAGAGGGTCCAGAAATATCAGGATCAAGATCAGAGAGGGAAAAGAAGCTCAAGCCTTGGTCAGCTTCAAATTGAAGCGAAGCTCGGAGGAAAACCAAAGTAAATTCAGGTTCGGAGCGGGTGCGCCTCCAAGACTTCGCCGAAGGCTAGCGTTCCCTCTCCCGGTATGCGCATCAGGAACGCACTACTCAAAACGGGGGCCCACAGGGAACCAAGGATGGAGGGAGCAACGAGCCCGGAAACCCCGAGAAAACGAGATCAGACATTCCCTGCTCGAGCTCGTTTCGAACTAGAAGCAAAATCTGACGCCAATATTCAAGAACGTTCGGGAAGCGGTCAGAGGCCTAAGCCACGCAGGAGCACTGGACGAGGAGGTGGGCTGCGGCCTGATATGCCCAGTTCCGGCTGGGTTTCGGAGCGGTGGTCAGGAAGGCAGGTACCGGATGAAACTCGAACGTCCCTGCTTCGGAGCAAGCGTCGAGAAGGTAGGTGTCGGCCTGGAACTCGAAGTCCTGGGCCTCGAAGCGGCAGCCGAGGAGGTAGGCGTCGACCTGGAACTCGGTGCCCTGGGCGTTCGCAAAATATTCTGGGGGGTGTCCGCCAAGACGTTCTGGGGAGCGTCCGCCGGAGCAGGCGTCGAGGAGGTAGGTGTCGGCTTGGAACTCGGCGCCCGGGGCCTACTCGGCGCCACTGGCCTTCGCAGAAGGTTCTGGGGGGCGGCGGTCGGTGGAACGCTCTGGGGATGAACGTTCTGGGGAACGCCCGCCGGAGCAGGTGTCGCGTAGGTAGGCGTTGGCTTGGAATTCGTAGTCTCGGGCCTCAGAGCTGGGGTCGAAGAGGTAGGCGTCTGCGCGGCACCTGCGGCCCTGGGCCTCGGAGCAGGGGTCGGAAAGGTAGGGTTCGGCGAGGTACTCAGACATGTAAGCATTGGAGTGGAAGGCGGAAACGTAATTGTCGGCGCGGAAACAATGTCCTGCGCCACGGGCCGCGGAAACCATGTCCTGGCTTCTGTCGGAAACTTGGTACTCACTCTTGGAATGGGAGACGCCGGCCTTCATCGCAAGGCCCGCTCGCTCATTGTCGGACAAACTGAAAGGAAGCAACACCCACATCATGCACTGTGCGGCACTCGCTTCCACCATTCACATGTCCGAGGAAACCTCCAACTGGTGCTGCAAGTCCCTCTCCTTGTGCGTTGGATACGCCTTCCCCTGCTTCAGCACAGCCCCTGTTTGCATCGGGGGCTCAAAGATCGGGGCCTAAGAGTGGGGCCAGGGTGAAGCAGTACGTTGCACTTCTTCTGGTCGTAGCACCTGTCCATATTATAAAATTTGACGAGGTCCCCTGTTCAGCCGCGCGCCCATGGTCTCGATCAGCTGGCACATGTCGGCGAACATCTTCGCGCTAGCTGATCCCACCGCCCCCTTGCGTTCCATCGAACCCATCAACAACCCACCAAAGACCCCCAAATGTGGAAGGCCGCGCTCGTGTCGGCGTCTGGCCGTCGCTACCCCCTCCGAGCACTTCATCTCCATTCTGCTCATCTTCATCGCCTCGTGACTATCGGCGTCGATCAGGAAGCAGCCGAAGATCACTTCCTCCACGTCCCTCTTTAACTGACCTGACTGAAGAAAGAACTTGATAATCGACACCTTCAATGCTGTTTGGGCGCCTTCCATCCCGAGGTATGTGTTCTAAGCGTTGCTCTCCTGGCGCGCCTTGACCGACGCCCTGCGCCCGTTCCCAGCCGTCGGAGCTTCGGACATGGCGGCGCCCGCCGACCCCTCGGCCGCGGCAGGCAATCCCCCACATGGGCCCGACGACCGCGCAGACAATGGGGGCGATCTCCTGGACCCCGAGGTGCCTGAACGGCTCGAGAAAACACGGATGCCGGCGGTGGCCGAGGTGGGTGGGTGTGGACAACGCGGACATTATACTCATCCATGTCTTCGCACTTCTCGTCGCAAAAGCATTAGATTTCTGTGGGCTCTGGCAGGGGCAATTTGAAATGAGACCTACACCGTGGGCGCGTATTGCAAATCACACATATGCACATGGGATTACGAATACCTCGTTCACAACCGCGTGACTGGTACCCCCGAGGGACGAGAAGTTCCGGCTGCACAGGACCCCGTTCTCGTCTCTGAGGGTACATGCGACGGAGGTGATGTCTTCCGTCGGAAGCGTCACTGCACGCGCTGACCCTCTCAAATCCAGAAAAAAACACGCATATTCTCCTTCCGTCAAGATAGCTGCTATGAGAACCGACGGGCAAAATCGGAGCCATGCTTCTCAGACCTCATCGTCTGCAAAAGGGTGGCGCACGAAATGCTCCTGCCATCATTCAACGAAGCCCCCAGCGCCGCTGATCCCAGCGTACATCGAGAGATCGATTTGCACTTGGTGCACTAATGGCGGGGCATCTCGCGCGAGTCGCCCGTGAGGTTCCAGAGCGGGGAGGTCCATCATAGCAATGACTTTCGCGTGGGCTTTGGTGCCCTGGCCCATCCTCTGGATTCAAGCGAACCTTCAAGCCAACCTTCTGGCAGACTGCGCGCACCCAATAGGATGCACCCTCCACCTGCGTCGGATACCAGCACGCGGTGAAACTCTTCGGGCGTATGCCACTGCAATCGGTAGCTCTAACTCGCTTTAAATCTCGGATATACTTACCAACGGAAGATCTTGACGGAGAAGATGTCGGGCTCGATAGCTGATACAACCGATTCGACTACGTGCCCCCGGAAAGCCAAAGGGCTGAGTCTGCTAAATACACGGGTTCCCCTAAAGGCTCTCCGCCCTTGCCCACCAAGGTCTCATCGCCGACGTTCGGAAATAAAATTCCCTAGGTGTGTGTGTGTGTGTTTGTCAGTGTGCGTGTGCGTGTGCGTGTTCGTGTGCGCGCGTGCGCGTGTGCGCGTGTGTGCGTGTGTGCGTGTGTGCGTGTGCGCGTGTGTAGGTGTGTGCGTGTGTGCGTGTGTGCGTGTGTGCGTCTGTGCGTGTGTGCGTGTGCGCGTGTGCGCGTGTGTGCGTGTGTGCGTGTGTGCGTGTGTGCGTGTGTGCGTGTGTGCGTGTGTGCGTGTGTGCGTGTGTGTGTGCGTGTGTGCGTGTGTGCGTGTGTGCGTGTGTGCGTGTGTGCGTGTGTGCGTGTGTGCGTGTGTGCGTGTGTGTGTGCGTGTGTGCGTGTGTGTGCGTGTGTGCGTGTGTGTGTGTGCGTGTGTGCGTGTGTGCGTGTGTGCGTGTGTGCGTGTGTGTGTGTGCGTGTGTGCGTGTGTGCGTGTGTGCGTGCGTGCGTGTGTGCGTGTGTGCGTGTGTGCGTGTGTGCGTGTGTGCGTGTGTGCGTGTGTGCGAGTTTGCGTGTGTGCGTGTGTGCGTGTGTGCGTGTGTGCGTGTGTGCTCGTGCTCGTGCTCGTGCTCGTGCTCGTGCTCGTTCTCGTGCTCGTGCTCGTGCTCGTGCTCGTGATCGTGCGCGTGCTCGGGCTCGTGCTCGTGCTCGTGCTCGTGCTCGTGCTCGTGCTCGTGCGCGTGCTCGGGCTCGTGCTCGTGCTCGTGCTCGTGCTCGTGCTCGTGCTCGTGCTCGTGCTCGTGCTCGTGCTCGTGCTCGTGTGTGTGTGTGTGTCTGTTTCGTTGCAGGGAGATGTTTCGGAACCTCTCCAGAGATGTCATCTCTCGGCGCGGCAACGTTTCGGAAATGTGTCAGAAATGTTTGGAATTTTCTCGGCGGGTTCGGCCCGCAAATGGAATCGGACTCGCGAGAACACTTCGATTCTGCGTTACAACTTACAACACTTCAGGCGAGGCTCGCTCCGTAAACGGGATCGGGCTCGCACGGCCGCAGTTTCGGCGGACGCGGCCGCATCGTCTTCGACGCTGCGAAAATGCCCCGGAGATGTGTTGGAGTTGTTTGAAGATTTTGTTGCGCGGAGGTGTTCTGGATACGTGTTGGGACTATGTTGGAGATTTTCTGCCGCGTGCACGACGAGACCCGTCGGGTCCTGTAGCGGGCCGAACCTTTCTCCATCCTCCCTCCCTCCTCATGCCTTCCACTCTCCCTCCCTGACCCTGCGGAATTGCACCGAAATCGTTGTCCAATCGAACCTGCTCGAATAAAAGCTGGACAGCCCGCCACTCGCGCGCGCCTATTGCCCTCCCTGGCCCCCCAGCTCCTCGCAGCGGGGGGGCTTGCCGCTGCGCTTCTCGATCTTCCTGCAGACCTCCGCCCAGGCGCCGAGGTTGTCGTTGTCGGCGGCGGCGGCATCGTCATCGTCAGCGGTGTCGTCCCTAACGCCATTATCCATCACTACCATCGTCGCAATCGTGATCATGGTGATGACCAATGACATCTGCGCGTCATTCACCACAACCACCACGATCATCCTCATCATCATCAGCAGTAGCATCATCATAATCATCATCATAATCACCAGCATCACCATCGTCATCAGCAGCTTCGTCATCATCAGCATCATCAGTATCGTCATCACCAGCATCAACACCATCAGTATCATCATCATCATCCTCATCATCATCATCATCATCATCATCATCATCATCAGTATCAGTATGAGTATCATCATCATCATCATCATCATCATCATCATCATCGTCATTATCATCAGCAGCAGCAGGAGCATCATCAATGCCATCATCAGCAGCATCATCTGCATCATCATCATAATCATCAGCAGCAGCAGCATCACCATCACCATCATCATCATCATCATCAACATCATCATAATCATAATCATCATCACCATCACCACCATCATCATCATCATCATCCTCCTCATCCTCCTCATCATCATCATCATCATCATCATCATCACCACCACCACCACCACCATCATCATCATCATCATCATCATCATCATCATCATCATCATCATCTTCGTCATCAGCACAAACACCAGCGTAAACGCCAGCGTCAACGTCAACCACCATCACCAGCGACAACGCCAGCGTCAACGTCAACATCAACATCATCATCAATGCCGTCATCATCGTATCGTTGCCGTTGTGATGGGCAATGCCATCACCAATCACCACGATCTCTGGTACATCTAGCTCACAAATATATCCGCACCGATCCATATCCTCCGTGTTCTGCCCAGATTCCCCCTCACCATATGCCTCCCCGTTCCTCTGCCTCCCCGCTCTCGCCATCTCCTCACCACACTTCTCTGCAGCCCGGGCTGCTTCTGCGGCGAACTCCCCGGGAAGGGGGCGTTTCGGGAGCGGCCTGACCGCCCTCTTCCGTGACGAGCCCCTTCCGCGACGAGGCCCCTCACGGCCGACGAGGCCCCTCACCGCTCGGGGGTCCCCGTCCTGGCCGCCTGCCCGTCTCGGAGCGAGGCGAGGGGATCGGCAGAGGAGTGAGCTGCGAGGGCTGCGCCGGGCCGACAGCCGCGGCACGAGCGAGGAGCACGCCTCCCACGATGAGCTGCGGGAGCTTCTCCTCCCCTTTCCCAGCCTCTTCCCTTGCGCATAACACGATGGCGTCCTTATGGTTGTGCCAGGTCCACGATGACACCCGTCGGCGGACAAAGAAATCATCAGCGCAATGGGAGGGGAAGGGCAGCGAGTCACTCCCACTCTCTCCTCCGGGGGGCGCCGTTCGGCAGCGAGAGGCCATCCTCATCCTTCTCCTCCGCCTCCTCCTCCTCCTCCTCCTCCTCCTCCGCCTCCCCCCCCACCAAAGCCCCCCGAACATTTCCAGAGGTCCCCCAAGGTAAATGGAGGCCTCCCGAGGCCCCCAACCTCCTCCTCATACCCTCTTCCTCATCCTCCTCTTCCGCCTCCTCCTCCCTCCGCCCCCCCACCCCGAGAGCCCCCGAAAGTCTGCAGAGATCCCAAAATGTCAATGGGAGCCTCCGGAGGACCCCAACCCCTTCCTCCTCCTCCTCCTCTTCCTCCTCCTCCTCCTCTTTCTCCTCCGCCTGTGCGCGCTCCCGCGCGAAAGCGCAGGCGGGGGAGCCAGGAAGAAGACCAAAGTAGACCCGGAATGTATGAGCGATCCTGCAGCTAACCCTCCTGTTCCAAGTCTTCTTCTCAAAGGGTTACTGAAGCATCCCTTTTCACACGCGGAGCGCCCCCACGAAACATGAGCGCCCCATATGCACGCAATGCAAGCGGAGGGGGACGTTTCGAAAAGAACCCATCGTGTATCAGAGTTGTAACTGGTAGAGATCTCCAAAAGGAGGATGGAGGAGGGGAGGGGGTGGAGAAGGACGAGGAGGCGGGAGGAGGTAATTCGGATGGAGGTTTGGAAGGCAAACTAAGGAGGGAATGCGTTTGCTTGGTTTCCCCATCTATCACAACTGGGTAGGCGACACATTCAGCCCAAACGCGCTTGGGATGTCGACCTATGCTGGTCGGTCCCAATCTGACAGATTGGGAGTCGTGAGGCCGTAACATCCGACCGTCAGACAGGCCGCAGAAACACTTGAGACGGTTCATGAGTACCGCGTTATCCGAGCGCCGTGATCAACCTATGACCAAACGCTTCCAGAACTCTCGCCGCCAGTCCTAAACAGTCTGGCAACGACCTGCAGGAGGCCCATGTGTGGGGGAGCCACGAATTCTGCGACAGAACCAGGACTTCCAGAAACCTACATCACACTGAGGACAGGCACTGGGGCCTTGGGCTCACTCGGGGGTTTGACCCCTGAAACATCTTGGA